CAACATTTGCAATTATACACCATTCGTTCATGTTAGATTTTTCTATATTTCGAAAATGATATCATTAATAGAAGAGATTATATCTCGTGCAAGCGAAGCTCTCTAATGATACAAATATGCGATCCACTTTTTTTACGCCAACAAAAAAACCTAAATAATGATATACCTACCACGATTCAAATGTCTACCACGAATCAAAAGTCAATAAGAATCGATTGCATAATGATTTTCGACTTTTAAATTTCTTTAAGAGCGGACCGCGATATGATGCGTACCTGCGCGTATGTACCGACGTCGCCGGGATATTAACTATATTCATTCCGGGGTCTCGAGCTGCTTCGATCAATAATTCGTTCCCCAGCTGTCACGCCCCTCGCAGACGAACGATCGAGTAAACGAGCGAGCGCGGTACCAACAAAAACTACACGCTAACTCATGGCGTGACACTTTAATAACGTTTTTTTTTTCGAACATCGAAACTTGTCGTCGAACATTCATTGCCGGCAAATTCTAACTCAGATTATATTGTTCCCAATAATTATTTTTAAAAGCTAATCTATGCGAGATTCGAAGAGAACGATTGATGTTTACATGACAATAAACGCTTCTTTAAATCTATAAGTAATCTTGTTCTTGTACATATATCGAGAAATTCGACAAGTGACGCAACAATTTCTTTCACATTGCTGACGATAATATCTTCGATCGGATACCAGACATTTTGAACTATATCTAAGGATGGAACATTTCTTCGATTTATCTTCGAGTACAAATAAATTTTATTTTTTTCGATCTCTCGACAGAAATGGAAAATTTTAAGAGACATACGATAACGATATTTTCTGATCTAAACTCGCCGCTTTTTTCGTAGATTACTTTCTCCCTTTTTCTCGACAAACTCAATCTTTGCCAGCCGGGTAACGGGTTGCCAACGCCCTCAGAAAACTGAGATACCACCAGCTGTGTTCACCCGCTTCATTATCTACCGAGTGAACGCAGAGTGGCTCCCTGTCCTCCGAAAGCTCGTTCCGATGATCTCTCGTATGTGCCGGCTCTTACCGACCGGATAATGGCCGGATGTAATCGTCACGCGGTGCCCCGCATCGCGAATCTCACAACGCTTATCTCAACGCAAAACGTCGTATTGTCTCCGCTATACCAAGCGCACCACGCAAACCTAACATCTCGTTATCGATCGAGCTTGTTAACGTCCTGCCGCATCATACGATACGTCTCTCATTATGCGAGAGATCCCAGGGATTAACTCTAGCACGAAACCGGAGATTATAAAATGTCTAATCATTTATATCTCTAGCGAATAATTTTTTCCCCCTCTTCCTGATTAATGTGATATTTTTAAAGTAATTTAGAAAAAGAAATATACATATATATAATATATATGTATGTATGTATGTATTATTATTATTAGTATACATACGTATATCTTTAATGCATAAATGTCTTGTCTTAATAATTATTTTTCCACTGGAAAGTTGATACAATACATAATGGCTAAATGACTGCAGCTTATTGATACAACTGTTATAGCTATTCGAATGCCAAATGCTGAAAAAAATAATAACATTCGTCTCGTATTTGCGATCGAACGATTATTTGCAAAACGTAAGAATAGAGGAATAAGAAACTATTGTAGCAATTAATCGCGCATCAATTAATCAACATTTGATGCAGCGCAGACTCGCGTCTGATTACACATGACGTATTCTACTTGCGTAACCTTGAGCCGAGGCATGGCACGGAAGTGATCGAGAAGAATGCGTCTTGATCCTAGTATACATACGTATATCTTTAATGCATAAATGTCTTGTCTTAATAATTATTTTTCCACTGGAAAGTTGATACAATACATAATGGCTAAATGACTGCAGCTTATTGATACAACTGTTATAGCTATTCGAATGCCAAATGCTGAAAAAAATAATAACATTCGTCTCGTATTTGCGATCGAACGATTATTTGCAAAACGTAAGAATAGAGGAATAAGAAACTATTGTAGCAATTAATCGCGCATCAATTAATCAACATTTGATGCAGCGCAGACTCGCGTCTGATTACACATGACGTATTCTACTTGCGTAACCTTGAGCCGAGGCATGGCACGGAAGTGATCGAGAAGAATGCGTCTTGATCCTCTCTCTCTCTCTGACGCATTTGCAGGCTTAAAAATGTATTAAGTACATGGCGCGCGCTAGTGTATGTTCAATAATTTTTAATAGCTGTATTTTTTTAGTTATCAAATCACGACTCGTATAAAAATTTTGGTAATTTTTATATTCGGCAGAGATTTAATATCTAAACAATGAATAAAGTTGAGAATGTGAATGAAATAATAAAGTGCAAAGACAAAGCATAGAAAGCAGAGGAAACAGGCGTAGAATGTCACAAAAGTAAAGAGAGATTTGATACATGTATCCTATCACGTGTATCTTTTCATCTTATGAATATCCGACGATTCAACAGACATGAGACTTAATCCTTTCTCTTCCTACTTGTCAGATTATACCGTACGATATAAAAATTTTCTGTCAACATCCTAAATTACATCACATGAGACTTTCAGCTAGGATGAAGGCTGCGACGAGGAAATAATACATAATTAAGTCGTTGAACGATTCGAGCATTATAAGAAGAACGTTACGAAATGACGTCGCGTTCGATGAAAACAGGCCTCGCACTGTCGATTTAAAGCACCTCGCGGATTTGAGAGTATATACACCGCGCGCTATTTATCTCTCTTCTCTTATCGCGGTGTCCACGACACTGCGTTCTATCTTTAATAACGTCACAGAGAAGCGCGGCATGTGTGTGTGTGTGTGTGTGTGTGTGTGTGTGTGTTTTGCACATTATTTTAGTGGCACAACCTGCGGCAAAACCCATTCGACGCGACGCCACGGCCACGTTCCAAGGTCAATGCGATAAGTCGGTCAAAGCGCGGGGTTATCACATAATTCGTTTGGCGCGTTTATTAAATGGAAAATCTAACACTCGCGCAATCTTTTCGTTTCTCCCGATCTCTGATCAAACAGCAATTTTGAGTCGCGAAAATTTCCTCTTCTCGCGAAAATTTTGTTCAAGAAAAAATTGACAAAATTGTAAATTTTTGTTCTTCACATAATACAGCGTAAATATAAATTTATCGGATTGCATTTATATATACTCTCTCTTAAATATAATTTTTATATATTATATTTATAATTTTGTGATTATTTTTTTTACCGTAGTCTTTCTATTAGTCTCGTTCTGTTTATTAAAGACGCATTATCAAGATTAATATTTATTTTTAGTTGACAACATTTATACGATTCTCTCGTTTGCCAAGCGCGTTTATTTATCGATAGAAATATACGAATAATCAAACACATAATGCTGTGCGTTTGAAAAAAATGTGGGTCCATAGTTCATGAATGACGAAGCTAAAAATGGCCCACCCGATGACGCACTATTTCGGCGTACTCAGGCAATCGTGCCAAGGTTTGGACAATTGCGTATCATGTAATTTGCGCAACAACCGTAACTTTTACTGTCCCATCACTCTATTCCATCCATATTTCTTTAAATATAATTGTCTTTGATTTTTCTCACACAATCTATTATTCGATAAAACCAAACACATATCTCGAAGACACATTGCACATATGTTCAAGTATTTTCTTATACGCGATATCATCTTATTTATATTGTTAATTAAGGGAATAAAAAATAATTGAGATGTCTACAATATTCTTATTCTATTTCGCCATCATCTGTTAATTACATAAGAATGATTACCGCGTCGTAAACGACGTTGATAGAATCTCGCCTCCGGTCAAGAGACCTTTGTTTAGAGCGATAACCGACGAGAGCCAATTTCCTTACGAGCGGCGCAGAAAGTTGTTTTCGGAAGCTCACAAAGCGAATTTCATTGAGAGCGCTTGGAAACGAGCCAATAGGAAATCACACAGCAGAAAGTCTGTCGCACGTCGATCGCGGCGTGTGTTTCAACGACGTCACGCATCGTGACGCGTGTGTCGTATGCGTACACCCGATATACCGGGCTCACCGTGGTTGCGTATCCGAGCAGAATCAAGAAGGCGCTTATTGTTAGATAACCGGCAATGATATTCTTGTTTGTTTAAAATGATTTTCGAGCGATACAAGAACAGCTCGTATGACATTTTGATTTTTTGTGCCTATATAAAAAACATTTAGCATATATTCGTTATCGCATTTTATTTTATCTTGTTTCTGCTCAGATACATGGAAAACAACAGATTCGTATTTACACCGCACAATTTTTAAACACTATGCAACGGACTTATATACAAATCTATTGATCTATTCTTCTTATTTATTTTTAAATATTATATAAATGAAAGATTGTTTTATTCCAAAAAGCCTATAAAGTGTTATAAAACATGAGACAGTTTGCAATTATATCGTTTAAATAAAAGCCTACAATATATCCACATATTTAAAAGCGAAAAATAATTATGTCAATTCTGTATAATTCAGATCACGTCATATTGCTATCAGATACCATGGTACCGTAACAATTTCCCTCTCTTATCAATAGATATAGTCCATCCTCATTTGATTATCTCTCATTGCTTATCTTACGCACGCTTTGTAAACAAAGATACGAGATTTCAAGTCAATATCGTAATCATGGTGCCAAAAATTGTGGTGTGTAAACGAGTTTTAAATATCTCATTGTCGATCAGTAAAAAAATGAATTAAGATCAATCTGGATGATTGATTCTCTCAATTTTTCATTCAATTTTAGTCCCTTATAATTTTAATTTTCCAATCTTTAATTAATCATAAAATATACATTTGTTAATTTTTTATATATTGTTAAGTAATTAATAATTTCATTGATTGTGCGTATAAGCAATAAATTGAAGCTGTCTAGAAGACGAGAGAGAGGAACACATCGATTTCCGAGATTGATCTTACGTATTTAATAAAAGATAATTACTCTACTGCGTGTGGCTACTTACAATCTGCTGCTGGGTTCATTGCTAGCTTCATCGCCTTCGATCCGATACACCTTGCCGGACATGACGTACTCGAAGCTATCTGCCCTGGAACCACCTTCCTGCTCTATGGGGTTCCATTCGTTACCATCTGGATATCCGTCCTCGCGTAACGTCGTCGCCAACACGAGACGGAACTTGTCACCTGAATACACAATGATATTTTGTTACACGCATGAATTATTTTATACAGAGTACGTTCACTCGTTGTGAATATTCTTTAATCCATATATAATTGAAAATATATATTTTTAATTATACATCAAAAGATTGCCGATATATGCTATTGAGAAAGTTACACAAAATTCGCTGATTTATATTAATTAGCGTAAATCTAGCTATAAAAGTTGAAAGCCAATAAATGGCTTTTTATTCGTTATCGCAGTGATACAGGTAGTATAGAAATAGACCTGCGCGTCTTTCCTTCTCGAACGCATTATCTTTTAAATGCACAATTCCTGAAAAAGGAAATTGCGAAAAAAATAAATCTCTTGTAACACTACGAGATCAAATGCGCGCGAATCGATGAAAAAAAAAAATGCCGATTCGTTACTTCAATGATAGGATAATGGCATATTATATCTACATCGTAATACAACGGGATCGGCGTACATCTGAAGGCAGAATAATCTCGACGTTCTTCGAACGCAAAAAAAATTCCAACATGTCGTGCAATGACGGAATAGCCAGGTCCAATAATAGCGTTCACACGCGAATTCATCGAAAACATACATCACTGCACGGTTGCATCAGACGCGCTGCATCTGCTCGGATGCTGCTGCTGATTTGTGCAAACTGACGGATCCGCTCTTTTCATCGCGCCTGCGATATTTCGATAAAAATATGTGATATTCGCGAGATGCATTTTGCATCTTGCACGTCGCTGTACAAGTCGTAAAACCGGTATCATACTTGAAGATCGAAATTGCAAGTTGGAAAATTTAACTAATCAAAATAAAAGGAGATAGGATTTTTTTTATCCTGGTGAAATATTTCATTTTCAATAGTCTGATACTGGCTTTAAGTTTAGATTATATATGTTTAGAGTTGAAGTAAACGCGTAGTTTATGAAAGAGGAAAATTAGTCGTCGATATACCGATTAATGAAAATTCGCATAATTTTTTCGCGATTGTTATATTTATATGACTTTTACTCATTTATAAATATAAAATTCTCGAATTGTGCGCAAAAAATTATCTCGTATTTTTTTCCAACTGTACGATCCAGATTCGCTTGAAATTGATAAAATATTAACGAGCGCGAAATAAGATTTTTATGAAATTTTATGTGTAAAAATAGAAGTTTAAATTAAGACGATTAAATTAATTTCAAGTTTCAAACTGCAAAATTTGATTCAAATGATAAAATATCGATGGCCGTGTCGAGAATGTTAAGAAGAAAACAAGATTGCCCGTTTAAATTATATTAAATTAATATCTCGTTAAATCAAATTGATTTAACGGGATTTACATTTCTCAATTTCGGATCAATAAAATTACACGTTGTAATTATCAAAGATAGTCCTATTGTGCATCAGACACGCCTTTAATGTCAAAGTGTAATACAATTTACTTGACTAACATGATATTAAATTAGACTCTTCCGGGATTGCGATTCGAGATCGATATCAGCGAAAAGGAGGAAGCGGGACATATGAGAGATGAGAGATGCAATGTATAGAGAACGGAAACAGGAGTAGCTACTAAAAGGAGGTCGCAATGTATAGAGCGAAATTGGAGCAGATAAGGAAACGGAAAAACTTGAAAAAAATCATGCTTGAAACAACAAATATTACACAGTATACTTATTTCATGCATATTTTACAAGCTTGTACGTAATAATAAGCAAACTTATATTTTGTTGTTTTACGATACAAACTCGAACTCATTAATTTGATAAAACATTAATAAATTAATTAGTTTGATAAAACAAATAAAGTGATTGTACTACTCAAGCTGTGCCACCAATCTCTTAAATTCGTTAGTTTAAATATACGGATTTTTATTAAATAAAAGATAATCTCTCTTTCTCGCGTTCCAAGAGAACTTTTTAACTCGCTCATAAAGCAAATTATTACATTTCAACATAAATATGTGAAATTTTACGCACAATTAGCGCAACAATATTTCTCGTCGTTCCCATATATAATCCTGGATTGAAGCGATATGTAAAAAGACCCGGGACGCAAGGTCAAGGTTAAGTACACGCCACGGTAGGTATAGTGCGAGCTTTAATCGATATTACATCTCTCGTTGGCGCCGCCGCTGTCGCGAAAATCGCCTATATACATAGATACGTCGAGCAAATATTAAGATATTTGCGACAAAAATACAGTACAGTTTTAAACGAATAATGGACTAACGCTTCTCGCTTCTAATCTATGACACTGTTATTTATTACGTTATTCTTTTATGTTAATTTTATTATATTTATTTATTTAAATATTTACGTTCGTTACGTTACTTATTTTGTGCTGAAATAATAAATTAGGGTCTATTGTAATGCAAATTTCTCTGTCGGATGGTAATAAAAAAAAAGGAGATTTTTTTTGTACGTCACACATAGAAGGTTGAATTTATCATGTGCGGTTATCAGCGCGAACGAGAGAATCGGGAAAACCGGTCACAATTGATCTCGCTGCTCTCCACAAAGAGTAGACGAGTACGTAAGCCGAGCTTACATCATAATGGTGCCACATCGTAACAGTGGCGGCTACTATAGATCATCCAGTCGTGCGTCGCGCGGTATAATATCTCGCGCTTAAATTAACCCTCATTCAACCGAAACGCCATGTTCGATGAATGAACACACAAGCTTGGTATCACAATGTAAAACTTTTAAACATTCAAAGCGTGCGGCGGACGGTAGTTACAAAATATGTAGCTCGAGTCGCAATTTAAAAAAAAAAAAAAAAAAAAAAAAAAAAAAAGAGAGAAAGATAATATTTTTCTACAATTTTTAGTAAATAACTTTTAAACGAGTAAGTG